AGCCAATTCATTTCATCTGCCATGGCCACGGAAGTTTTCTAAAAGTCTTGGAATATGTTGCAGGAAAACAAATTCGAAATATCATTCGCATGGATAATTGTGTTTGTATGTCTACTATCATTTAAACAAATCTGAATAATGTATTATTACAACCGGTTTTAAAGTTAAGTATATGTATGGTACAATATTACAGGACAAATGATAATTCTTCTGATTTACGAACTATGAAGAGCTATGGTGCATACTAGCATCACCACGAACAAGTAAAGTGATTTACTGCTGCTGCTTAAGTGTGGTCTGGTTGTCTGCACTGAGCCATACTCTCTATCCAATGTCTTAGCCCGTGGCCATGATTAATAAATCATCTAAAAGTGCCACGGTGGACTACGTTGGATGCCAAGCAGTCGATGTTAGAATTAACATTATTAGACAATTACATATAAATTATATGATAGGCATGCTGAAGGTCAAATGAAGGGCATAACAAAACTGTGTACCTCTTTTTGAGAAGTCAGCAGTTGAGGTCCTGTGTATAGACTCCCCCCTCCCTCCTCCACCATAGGAATGTGGAATTTCCACCACTAATTCAGGGCTCATAACACAGATAAGCATTGCCAAATGCTTGGCTGAGCATTGAGGGACACTGTGAATGTTATTTAATTGCAGGCACAAAAACTATCTGTTTTTGGTAAGTAACTTGAAGTAAAAAACTATCTGTTAAATTTTGACATTTAACATTCTCACATAGAACATATGGTGAATATTACAGTAGTTTGCAGTGCAAAATTAGATCTGGATGTGCGAATTAGCAATGGGGAGCTGACCTAATTTTGAACCCATTTTCTCAGCCGACAATAATCTAGAAATATTTGCAAGTTAACGTGCCCATGTTGTGAAGGAGACAAGCCATCAACGAACTTACGAACGTAAAATGAACCTGTGACATTATCCAAGACAAGGTGAGCCATCATTTGTCAATGTTACTGCCATTCTGTAAAATTACCCACAATTACTACATTTGTCCAACCAGACAAGACAAAGAGTCTACTTTCATTGCAGCTGCATGCAATGTATACGCTTATATACCATAACTATATACATGCATATATAATTTTAATTGAACATATATATAATTATCCATTCTGGAGTTAAAAGGCCAGTAAATCATACCAGCCAGCATTCCATTAATACACAAAATAAAAACTCAATAAGATCATTACAGCTGCGAAGGTCACGTGTCAGTAAATCGACACGACAGAACGAGGCTGTGTTGTTGATGCTTGATGACGTTTGTCTGTCATCCGAAGCATACGAAAAGATGCGGGCCAAAGAAAAAAAACCAACGGAGCTAAACATTCCTGAAGCCCCTTAGATAACGCAAGACTCGCATACGCTATTGTTGCACATTAAACGAGAGTGGATTGCGGCATACATCACTCACGCTTAATCGACTCTATTCGTTGTGTCGGACATCGTGGTTGTTCGATACCCCTTCAACAATATCAAGGTCTCATTCTCCTCGACTGCCTGTACTCCCGTCGACAGTTTGGTTAGTTGCAGAACAAGAAATTTCTCTTTGCCTGCCATTGCTTTAAGTGATCGACTTTGAAACGTCTGTCCATCATTTATCCCCCCCCCCCCCCCATTAAATTCCTTTAACCTTAGTAATCGCAAGAAAAATCATAGTTCTCATCTCGTATATTTTATTATTATTGGGTGATTTTATGTGCTGGCCACTTTGCACTATATGCCTTTTCACCCTCTGTTCAGCGACTTGCTACAACAACAACAACGAAAATCACGGCGAATTTTCAGAACTCGTGCCATGAGTAATTGCGTAAGGGGAGAAACTGAATCGAGGTGGTAACAGCAGCTTCACTTGTCATTAACGTCATGTACAGACAGCCAGCCAAGCCCTGTCATGGGATATGAATGTCATATTCGCCTGGAGGTCGGCACATTCTTCAGCATCAGAATAACATGTTGGCTGTTTATGCAGGGACTTCACTTGCTCAACTGATGGCACGTTAACGTATCGCGCTAACTTCTGGTACGAAACACGGATGGAAGTTAATAGGCTGTGAATAATGTATCATACACACGCTATCCTAGCACGTGCACACGCCTCGGAAATAGGTGGTACAGCGAACAAAAGTATGACAGCGGTGAAATGATGTTAAGTAAAGAAATAAATGCGCGTGTCGCTATTGTGTCGTTTGACAGGGAATGTTATTAACGCGCGTAGCCTTGCGCGGACTCGTGCGTGGCGTGACGCCGATCAAACGCCCTGGTCGAGTGTTCGTGAGTGAACTCGAAAAAAATCGTGACATTTGGTGCCGTGTAACCCGACTAAGAAAGTCGATGGATTAAAAGGGTTTTTTTTAGACATTTACCACACCCACGCGTTTTCATTTCAACACCATGATCCAAATTTCGATTTAAAGCTTTCGTGACTGCAAGGATTAATCTTCTTTGGTTCTTTCGGTAAAGTCACGTAGAATGAGAATAAAATAATAAATTAATAAAATAAAATAACACAATAATATTCTCACGACGTTTCGGCCACAACACGGCGCTGTCCTCCAGACAGTCTCGTCCCTTCACCTGATGAAGGCCACTTGTGTTGTGGCCGAAACGTCGTGAGAATTTTATTGTGTTATTTTATTTTATTAATTTATTATTTTATTCTCATTCTACGTGACTTTACCGAAAGAACCAAAGAAGACACCATGATCCAGTTTAACACGTATGCTTTCGCTACCGATATTATTCATAATAAAGGTTTTTGGGTTAGATCGCGTAAGTATGTGTCGAAACCCTCCACCACCCGACACGGCCAATCAGTAAAGGATTTTTCACGTAAACGAAACGCCAAATAGTTCACTTCTTCATGACCCAGTTTGCTTTAAGCAAATGCCCTAGACATATAAACTCTTATATAAATAAACATCACGTACATATGTTACACACTCATATATTTTAAAGAGTCACACGCTGCTCAATCAAAATTGGATTTATTTATCCTCTCAAAATCCCTGACATTTTATAAACTGTTGCTACTTCAAATGTTGTACGCAGAAATTTGTGCTCACTGATATAATAGACGGGTGATTTTCCGAGGAAAGAATATGACATTTTAGTCAGCTGTTGCACTCCAGCCTGTAGACACTGTCATGGATAATATATAAAAAACAGATTCACCAACTAAGTTAAAGTTTGGATATTAAATATAAGTTATTTAAATATAAATATGGAACGTACGATACGATTCAAGAGGATACACCAGAGTCAGTCGATCGGCAGATCGCGTGTGGAGGGGAAGAGCGTGGGTACTGCTGCCTGTTACAAGACATTTGGCCAGCATTGAAAGAGTAGGCCAAATGACCTCCAGCAGGAATCTCTAGAGTGGGGCTTTCAAGAGCCCGTCTAGTATAGGGCTTTCCGTCATCAGCAGCGCGAGAGAGGGAAACTGCAGGGCTGCCTCTTTACTCCATAATACCAAAGTACACCACCGAGGAAATGTAACGACTGTTCTTCTTTCGTGCGCCTGATATCGTCGGTGCAGAGCATCGACTACAATTTCACACTCGGGTGGTCAAGCCGGACAACCGCGTCAGGAGCAGCGGAGTGTCATCGCTGTGACGTCTCCTTTGTGTATCCATGGATCGGCCATTGCATCAGTAACGTGTTGTTATGGTCTATTCCGGATGACCGCAGTCGCACAGCCGAGTTACTGAAAGCTAACTAACTCGGCTTGACTGAGCAAAGGTAAACAATGTACATGTACGCACATTCGAAAATTCGACCGCGACCTCCAAGTACGTCACAGTTGCACTTTTTAAAGCCTCCTAGGCTAGGCAATCCCTCCAGCCTTACAGAGGAATGCAAAAATGTGTTTGGTATGTGTCGCTCGGAATTCCAAACAACAAGCAAAAACTGCGCCTCAGAATGATGTGCGCAAACTCACTTGCCCTCGAGTGCTTTCATTAGTCCGTGGGTGGCTTCTCACCTGCGGGATTTGGCATGCTGCGTTTTTTTCTTTGCTTTGTACCGACGTTGTTTTAATACTGGTAAGGGGGCCGGAATGAGAGCATGGATCTCTTGGGGGCACCGCAGTTGTATGCAACAAAAAAAAAAACCCAAATAACCTTCACGGACTGTAGGGGCAAGTGCTGTTAGCGAGCACCTATGAAGGCCGGCACCGCACACGAAAGGGTGAGTGGTCAGCACCACGGGCTACACATCGCAGCAGGTACTCATTTGAGGCTGAGTCGACCTAGGGGAGGTCCAGGACCAGGTTCAGATAATCGTCACTGGTGTTGGCCGTGAGCGGGAATCGAACTCGGTTCGCCCGGTTTGCAGCGCAACGCGCTAACCGCTACACCACCGCTCCCCACTATGCAACAGGCCCACACACACAATTGCATGCATACCAACAACACGTACAGAGTTATTCCCCCCCGTCCCCCCCCCCCTTACAGTAGGTTAATGTCAATGGCTGTGGCTGCAGGGTGGAGTTTTTGTTAGTGGTAATAATTGAGAAGGACTAAGGCTGTTATTAAAGTAATTGCTGCAAAGCAGGTAATTTAGGTATGGATTTCATTCAACTCGCTTGCATTTTCTCTCGAACAGAAGAAAAAAAACACGTCCAACAAATATACAGATGAATTCATAGCAATGGCATCCTCACTCAAAACACTGTAAACATTCATGAATATTTCTCTCAGCGTGTAGAGTTCGAATGGAGAAAGTGGGCAGCAACTCACAACTGGTTTGTGGATGTACATGCAAGTACCACTGCCATATAGGCCACGTCATCAGTGGCCCCACATCGACGCACGAAACAGGGTGCTTGAGGTCAGATCTGGATTTCGACACCTTTCTTCACATTGTGTCGAAGACGAAGACACACGGACACCTAGGTAACGTTGCCCCACCAGGTGTAAGTGGCACACACACACACGCAAAAACAGCATGCTCTGCATTTAGAAAGGACTGACCTGGCCGTCTTGTCGGTAGATGAGTAGCTGCTCAGGGGTCTCCTCCAGCATGCTTTCCCCACGGGTCAGGCTGAATTCGGGCACATACTCCAGCTCTTGCTCATAGGGACTCTGGGCCTGAGTCGACAGATGGGAGTGCCAGTGGCAGGCGCGGTGGAACAGCGGGAAAAGGTAGCAGAGTCAGGTTCGTTACTCGGACACAAACGTCACCGGCCTATATATGTGTGTGTGTGTGGCAGTGTCGCTTGACAAATCGCGCTCAGTTGAAAACCGACGGTGCTGCCAAGCGGGGGTTAATAAGTGCACGCAAAATGAAACATTCCAACTGAAGTTGTTCGCGTGTCTAAAGCATTGCAATTGTTTGTTGCCAAGTGTAAATACAATCGTCCTTGTCTCGGCCTCGCTGTGCGCTGCGTTGCACCACTATGCGAGTAGTTAACCTCGTATTGAATAAACTTTCAGAGCCATGATGAACATCCGACTCAAACGTAGTTAATTAATAGAACGAGGTAAAACTGATGGAAAAACACAGCACAAAATACAGCATGTGTTAATACTTGCAATATGAATACAATTAATGAACACTGCAGCATCATAACATTGTCTTAGATAACATTAATCTCAATAATAGGTCCTGGATGGACCAGGAACCTACATTAGCACTGAATAGCTATACAACAAGAGAATAAGCTATGTTAAATAAGGTCACTTTGTGTAATCACCATACTGCAGTCCAAATGTACAGCGCTGCATATAACACTGAACAGTGGATGAGATACTTCTTCATCCTTGCTCTCAAGAACGCATTAGAGTTACGTGGGCACAAGTCTGGCTTGACTTATCCAACTACAAATAACATTTACAATAATGCAAGTGGCAGGCTTTGTTGTTAACTAGGCCTCATATTTATCATAACAATTAAACAGCATTATAAAGACATTTCTAGCATTATCACAGCAATCCTAACATAACAGCATTCCCAGTATTACCACGTAGGCTTTCGCGACCAATATAATCCATAATAGAGGTTTTGGGTGAGATCGCGTAAATATATAAATGTGTCGTTAAAACCCGCCACCACCCGACACAGCCAACTAGTAAGGGTTGTCACGTAAACAGAACGTGGCCAATTTCGTCACTAATACAGCACACCGGTGTGTTGGAGAGCAAAGCCACAACATTTACAATCTGAGTACGACGTTTAGCCAGTAATTACAACTAGCTTCATCAGGCGATAGCCAGAGTTGTGGAGAAGTCTTAGGGTTTAGTTCCTTATATAGAGGCGTAGATGTGTTGACCACACAGCTGCGCTCTTGCACAATATGGGGGTGGAGGGATTACTGAGGCAACGTACATTATGCATGTGCATTACGCGAGCCCTTTGAACTTGTCCTTCCTGTCTATTGTATTTATTAAAATACCCCTACCAACGGTAATCCCTATTGAAGTACGCTAGCCCTTTGTAGGCATGCATTTAAATAATGTATTATTTGATGATTCGCTTCCAAGCAGCACTAAGGCGGTAGCTATCCGAACGGTTTCAGTTATTTAGGTTTCCATACTCTTTGGTTATTATTTTTATTGAAATAATTTTAGTATTTCTACCTATGTGACTTCCCCGAAAGAACCAAAGAGTATGGTGGATTCCTGCAGTCACGAAAGATTCAGATCAACATTATTTCGGTTTCTTTCAATTTCGATATATTCTCTAATTAGTCTTGGCCAGTAGCAGCTCGTTTTGCACAAAACTTCAACATTATCAAAATCTGTTGAGTGTCCTTATTGGCACGCGTGTTCTGCTACTGCTGACAATTGTATTTGGGATAATTTAATGTTTCTCTGATGTTCTTTAAGTCTCGTGCTGATCATTTGTACTGTTTGCCCAACATAACATTTACCACACGTGCAGTTAATCCTGTACACACCTTCTGTTGATAGCTTCGGTAATACATCGTTTGTACCAGATATAAATTTCTGTATTTTATGTACCGTGCAAAATCTGACTTGAATGTTTTTTTTTATAAACATCTGTCTGGTTTATCAGTTACTCCCGCAATGTATGGTATTTTTGATCGTTTTAATTACTTGGGCATTTTCAATGCTCTTGTTATTTGATTTGGTTTGCCCTGTTGATTTATGCATCAATGTAACTGTTCGTACGTATAGCACACAAGTACGTATAGCATATACGTACTCGTGTGCACTTCTACAGCACGAATTGGCATGTTCTGTTTACGTGGCAACCCTGTGCCAGGTGGTGGCAGGTTTTCATGACACATTTATATATTTACGCGATCTAACCCACAAACCTCTATTATGGATTCCCAGTATTATAAGAACATAAACGAACTTACAGACAATGCTTCTTAAAGTCCGACAATGAACAGATGCACCCGTCTTCACTGAGACGCTAATTGTGCCTCCATTTTGTACTCTTTGTAATGGCTGACACCCCTGCCTTGCCTCGTGGCTTCGAGACCCTTAACTCGTAACTTTCTGGTCACGTGACCAAACTCAACACCATCATATCAGGAAGTTCCTGTGTAAACAAACCCCCCCATATCTGCCCTGGGTCAGAACATCCATTGCCTTCAATGTGAGGCAGTTTTCAATTGTCACAGACTTGAAGAGTGAATCAATGTGGCAGACTGGGATCAACCACAACTGAATAAAAACGGTGAATTATGAACTGCGTATATGTTATGTAACTGTATAAATAATTTTAATAATGTTAAGCCCATTGGCAATCCACTGCTGGATGAAAGCCACCTCATGTCAGTCATGGGAGTGGGGGTGGGATTTGACCAGTGTATCTTGGAAGTAACTGTGCGCTTATGTAAAACTGTAATTGTATGAAGTATTAGCTTCATATTATGTTAACAAATAAACAAAAACATAAACTCTTGTGATCAGAAACATATCAAAGATCACAGAGTTTAATTAATATAATGAAGACAATAAGAACTCCAGTGTCTATGTATGTTGAACTTCTTTCGCACCGTAGTATTATACCCAACAAACAATTGTCAGTTAGTATGCACTGGTAATGATGGATTTTTTAAAATAATGAATACATTTACCCAAGTCATTGCGACATCACTCATGCGTGCTGCCTCATATTTGTAGGTTAGAAATATGAGCTAGCGCCCAAGAAAATAAAAATCTATTTTATTTATATCCTGTTAGGCGATTAAATTGTAACAATAATTAACTTGTACATGTGTAATCCATCTGATGTTGATATGTTGACGTGTTTCTTTGGAATGCTTTGAGAGAACATTTATAGAGGAAAATTATGGGCTTCACGAGGACCCTTAAATGTCAAACTGAGTATAATTTCAAGACAAAGCTGCTGATGTGCAAATTTACCACTTGCTGGCATGAATAGTCTAATTTTATTGGAGACCGTTTGGCTAGGACATTTAATTTTTAATTCAAAGAAACTTTGTTTGTCAAGCAAAACGTTCCTGGTACTCAGATACTTTCCTTGAATAGGCTACTGTGTTTAATTTGTCCTGCAAATTGGATTCTTTCAACCGTTTAAAGTATTTATGGGAGTTCGGAAGACAACGGTAAAAGTATATCCATTAAGCACATGTTTTAGGGTTCAAATGTATCTCGAAGTATCCAAGAGACATACTCTGATATCTTTGACTATGTGACCAAAACATTCTGCTGCAACTGTTGATGGAATTGCAATTCCTACATTTAACAACATCTTGAAAAACATTTATATGCAACTGGGAAACGTGTGTGTGCTGTGAATGAAAACTCAGCTGAGAAAATGTAGAGTTCACCATGCAGACACTCCACAGTTCCCAGAGTTTCTCACAATCCCCGCATGTCAATGGACCCAAAACATTTTAATATTTCACGAACATACACCGATAGCCATATGTTGGCTCCCGACCGGGACATGGGGCCACATCCTTTCTCGACTGTGTACGCGTATCAACGAGCAGAGCACAGACTACACAATCGAGACCTGGGTGGGTGGGGGGGTCAAGTGAACAGGGTCAGATGCATTAGGGAGGAAAGGTCAATGGTGGCAGTACAAATCCTATAAACACCCTCTTTGGTTCTGTCGGTAAAGTGACGTAGAAAGACAAAATAAATAAATAATAGAGCACGACGTTTCGATTGCAACACAAGCAACCGTCATCAGGTAGAACTACCTGAACTACCTGATGACGGTTGCTTGTGTTGCAATCGAAACGTCGCACTCTATTATTTCATTTATTTTCTTTCTACGTGACTTTACCGACGGAACCAAAGAGAAATTCCTTGCAGTCACGAAAGCTTCAAATCAACCTATGAGCACCGTTCACTGTCACTGCGAGTAGCTGAGTTTTGCTTGGGGGCCCCATGGATCCTGATGGGAGGCGAGTGCTGCTCATGGGGTCTAATCGCCAGCTTTGGGGATCACTTGAGGAAGCACCTGCACAAGGAGCAGCACCATTATTAATGGCATCCTGTCTTGTGCAACAACGCTCTGCGCCGAGGAGGCCGGACGGGCGGAATACAACCGGGGTGCCAGCGAAGGGGGACATTTCCTTACAGCACAGGCAGGGAATTAAAAAGTGACCGACGTCCGATCGTGAACAGGTGGCGCCGTGGCAAACCCGCCCGCACCTCGGCATGGTGTGCTCACGTGGGGGTAAGACGAGGCTAAAACGTTATCGCAGCCAAGGTCCCTGGCGGAACGCCTGCGTGCGCAGACTGTGAAAAACGTTCGAAAAAAAAAAGCTGAGGTATCAAATCTGTCGTGCGCAATGATAGAACACCCCCGTTGAAAACGTGTCCGCGGAGATTTGCGATGTAAAGTCAAGTTCCATCTGCAGGGTTCATTTGTTTAGCTCCCTCGACCATTTTTGATGTTGGATACATGTGCATGTCACGTCACGTGCGCCGGCCTGGTTTGTTTTTTTGACACATTTTAAGCTCCAGTCTGAGCCATTAGAGAAATAAACTGGTCAGCTCCTGGGACAGTATTGTTTTTCAAAATATATATATATTTTTTCTTCAGCCAGCCATCTATATGCCACTGATTTTAGAAAAAATAAACCCCTACGATCATGATGTATCACTAAAATTTGGTTTAGCAAAACAAGGCTCTT